TCCAATGTTATTCGGAGAAAACTGGTGTTGATAAAGCTTTGTGGACATCAATTGTCTAGACTACCTGAATAACATTAGACTTAGTTGATACAAGCAGTGATTGAAGATTATAGGTAGAACTGATCCAAAATCAATAGCAATAGGCGTTAAAAAAATTGATGAACTCCTAATGAAATTAGACTTTTTGCATTTAATTGTCCAACTGGCATCACTACTTGTTACTGAATTTGTTACACTAAACTTAGACAGTCTTATTTGAAATTATTAAAATTTCGCCTAACAATTTTTGTTGAACGAGTTCTTACATATCTAGGTGGTAAATTTATTTGGTCTTGTGATTGGTTCATTAAGTGTTGGCATACACCTCAATGGAGCTACCTTATCAACGCTAAATTCAGTGAACTTGTCTTAAAATATCCCTACACAACATGAATTTACTTGCGATGATCATGTTGCAAATGATTTGTAAATTGTATGGTTAACGTTGACACTTCTCATGATTGATTAGTTTCTCAACTTTCCAACTGTGGAGTCAACAGGTGTGACATCTGACACAAAAGTGTCGTGAACTTGTGAAAGGTTTTACTACTGAACAACTTGAGTAGTTAGAAACCAATCAGGCTGACCCATAGTATTTCGCCAGCTAGACCAGAGTAATCTAAACATTGGATAGCCGTTTCGCTCATTTGGGGTAGGCTCATAAGCTGACAGAGCCAAACTGGTTCGAACCGCCTAAATCTGGTCACACTTAGTGGTCTCGGCCAAGTTGTCTCTAGCAGAAACCCTGCTGACATTACAGCTGTCTAGTTGAAAAGCTACTCATCTGTAAGAAATTTCAACGTGGACCGTCCAGTTTGTAAACCATAAACAAATTGATCATTCTATTTCAGATCTACCAGGACACTCAAACCGGTTACCTAATTTTTTTGTCTGAGTCTACTTACCGATGACCTTAGTCCCATATGAATGAAACGGTCGTTCGGTTTTTCGATCACTGTGATCTGACTGGCGAAATCCTCAGATCAGCAATTGTGGTTTCCTACTAGTTAAGTTGCTAAACAGTAGTACTTTCCTCCATTTCATGACTTCATTTAGTTTGACCGAATTGATTCGGTACCACAAAATTATTGTTAACATCTAAAACAGGTGAAATCAGTGAAAGATGTCTCCTCCATACTTTGTTATGACAGTATGTAATATACGAACTTTAAATAAATAAACGATACATGATATAAGGATACAATGTTTTGCATATTTAATCCCAGAAGCTAAATTTGCATTGAAGAGTGGGTTTTAATTAGGATTAATTTCAGGCGACACAACTGATTTCCACTTTTCTGTAACTTTAATAATGTGAAAGTAACATTTATAGTGCCCAAGAATCTCATTGCCCAAAAGAACCATCCAGTAGACAAGAAAATAAAGCTCAATGAATCACATTACCCCCAGATCTACATGTAGAATAGACGTCTTACTAAAACACTTCTTTTAATGTCTGAATATTTCTGTCTGCAATTACGCTAATTGCGTCTGTTTATTGATTCACGCTAATCTTCTCCTCAAATAGCATAATTTTAAAATGGTGGAGAATATTTGTAGCTCAGGTGGATCGTATTGGTTGTATTGTGTTCTCTCAGCTGGTTTGCTTAATCGTGAAGCTTTCATTGTCCTCCCAGATCACATCATCAACACTAACTTCAATATGAAATGAGCTGTCATGATCTCTCCATGAGTGATTTAGTAGCTTGCCTTCACCAAGTGGTCTGTGATTGGCTGTTTCCTTCGATTGTTGTGTCATTGACTGTACAGATTTCCCTGTTGGCTGTTCCTCTGCTTCACCTCTGACCTTTGTGTTGTTTATCATCCTTCTTATTTGTTGATTGATAGATTGGTTCTATGTCTATACATCAAGTGATTGGTGACCGACCTGAATGCCAAGCATCTAGGAATTCTCTGACATTGATTGTGTTTCCTCTCTCCAACCAATGTTTGTAGATTGTTGAAATTGAATTCATGTAAATTGTTGTTATCCAGGTGGATTGAAAAGAGTGAAGAAATGTTGTGGCGTTTAATAGGCAGTTGGTGTTTATGTAGACGAATGGGAAGAGGGTGACCATTTTGTTCAATGTAGTGTTGACTCCAGTTACTGCAGTTGATTTTGTAAATGATATTTGGTTTGTCTTCTATGGTTGCTGTGTCATTTGGTCTGCATTATACTGACTAGAACATCCGACAAATTCCCTGTAGTGTGACGGTTGGGAGACTTGGCGTGTGGTGAAAAGCATTTTCAACAAGGTGCACACATTCATCAACAACTGTCGTCAACGCTCACTCAACAGTGAAGATGGAGACCAGATGACCACAATCATAAGAATAAGCATCAAGGAACTGTGGGAATGAACCAACAAAGAAGCTCTCGTCTAAGTAATATGTAGAGGAAGAAAGTGGAGATGGATTGTATGCAGCATACGGCATACGGCACACGGCATACACTGAGAAGACCATTTGTGGACATGACTCTTCAGGCCAGGTCATTGAGTGGAATGAATGCAAAGGGGAACCGACGAGTTGGGCTTCCGAGATGAGGGTGATATGGATGAGATGATGCGAGGGAGAAGTGGAAGCTTGTGTGTAGTGTTGGAGTTAGTTTGAAAAGACTGGATAGGAGAGAGTGAAATTGTAACGTGTTACTGAATCCGTATGTTCCACTTAGTTCCCAAATATTATTTATAATTGTTTAATAGCTTTGAGTGAGCATATTGATTTGTTTATAAATTGTTAATTGTTTATTTTGTTATTTAGCAGTGGGGTTATTTCTTAAAATTCAGATATTGTTATTCGCTTATCAATTAATCCGTCTAAATTCAGACATTATTATTTTATCTTCACAACATATGTAATGTATTTACAAACCTTTTCAGAGTTACAAGATAAATGTGCCTAGCTTTGTAGAAGCGTACTTGCTCAATACTCTAAATATAGCAAGATACTGTGGCAATATCTTCTGGTCGAGGACCTTAGACGCCTCTCTCGTAATATGATTTATATATATGTATATTTAAAAGGCTGACGAAAAGTGACAGTCTGATCAAAAATCGCTGTAATCTCTTGTTGACGTGACTGTTGAGCTCTGATCAATCTCGAGCACTTCTCACTTATGCGCACTCCAGCTTTACAGAGAATCAGCCCTGATGTGACGTGACCTTGGTCTTCTGCTGACGGACTACTGATATCAAGACATTTAAATCTTTGAAAATGTGTTACCTTCGACTGAAATCAAACGTTAATTGGGATTATTGAATTTGAAATTATAAGTCTTGCTAAGAGTAGGGGTTCCACTGTTACTCCTGTAACTTCTTATCGCTGATTGGACGAAACTGGTGGACCTCTATTTACATATAGGCTTCTGCATAAATGCCTCAATATTTTCGGTAGTTCCACTTCGGTAAAAAATGATATGTAGTAGCGAACAGTGATGGCATGTACATCCAGCTGAGGAGTCCTGAATAGGCCGAAATGCTCGTCTTTGATTCCACTGTGAGCCACAATCAATCATTACTACCACTATGAATAATTACATTGAATTTTGGAGGTATGTGGAAATCTTCAGTGCTGTTTTTTTAAATTCTTTTTATTAAAAAATATTGATAAGTAATGTACAGAAACAAATCACTTCATTTTGAAAGGAAACTTATTGATCAGTAATGCAGTTGAAACAATAATGCTCTCTTATGATTTATCAAAGAATAAACTGTATATGAATACTGAGAAAAACTTGTGCAACTGTAATTTTTGTTTCATAAAATATCTACAACATTGACTGAAGAATATACAGTAAGATTTCCAATGGAAATAATCAAATAATCTTTCATATTTTCAGCAGTGGAACGTTCAGTGTAAATCGTAAACACCGGCAAACTTGTTAACACTTGATTGATAATGAAGTGAATTCATTGTTTACTTACTTACTTTCATTGAACATTGTATTATAGATGTATGAAGTTATTAGAAAACTTGTTTTAACAAAGATGTTACAAGAGCAAAAGTATACGTTATATTATCATTGTTGTTTATGTGATGACCCAAGGGGTAAAACACATCTCAGTGAATACTGAACAGTAGAATTCATAGAATCGTCTAAGAGGTAAAAAAAAGAGATGAAAATAGGGGATGAAACCAAAAAAACATCTGAGTCTACCACTCATCTAAAAAGTATTTTATTGTGATAATTGAAAATAGAACATATCTGAATCAGAAGATGAAATAAATGGAGCACAGTATGAAACGATAATCAAATAAGGACAACCACTTAATTTGTACACATTTTCAGGGAAAATTCTTGACAGATTATAGAATCATTTTTGATATTTTGAAAAGCTTAAAATTTTCACACTGTAAACAATACATCAAATTAGGGAATGATAGATATCATTTGCTTTATTCAACTCAGAAATACACACTACATCATCTGTCAGAAAAAGAATTGTTATTCAAATAATAATGTCAAATATCTTTTTGTTTCTAATAAACATGATCAAAATACAAATGTTTTTAGGATGAAAACTATTTATACTAGTTCTAAAATCAAACATTGACGCTTACTTATGTTTAAATGAAATCATAATAATTTATATGTATATCAATGGAAATAAAAATAGCAACAAATCAATACTTCTATGGTAAGGTTATGAATAATTTTTAAAAAAAATCGATTGCACATTGTAAAGTCTATGATGCATTTTCCATTAGTGTAAAATATATCTAGTTGTCAGAGTCTTAATTTAACATAGCAGGTAATTAGTTGTATTGCTCATCTGTTAGAAATGCTTTATTTTGTGAGTTCAATGTTGATTATCTTTTCTCTTCTCTATATGTGTTGAATTGTCTCACTAAGCTGAAGAAAATTTAATTTTGACATATCATATTAAATTGATAAAAAGCAGTTGGAAGAATTTACGTATACATATTTACATCAAAACTCTTGAAGAGGTTGCGTGAACTCATACTTGATATCGGGATTTCTGACCAATCTTGTTCAAAATATTGTTCATAACAGCACGTATCTCCGTCGCTTTGTACATTCGTATAATCGGAGGCTGGGATTTGTGAATGCAAAGCGAAACAGTTAGGTATTATTAGTGAAATACGATGTTATATCGGATTGAATTTCATTTTTATCAGGAATTATCAACATGTAAACAGTGATAGAACAAGGAGAATATTTTTACGAATACATATCCATCACAATTATATTGACATATAGTATAACTAAAAAATTAATAAATACCCCCAAACCTCTACTTTTAAGACATATGAGAAGGTTGTAATCTAATTTTCTTTTCTCGTTTGCATCATCCAACAACTAATGCGGATCGCATAAATTTGTTGATATGTTTCACAACACACTAAAAGCTATTCTTAGGAATGGATAAACTTCTATGTCATTACACGATTAGTACTCCAGCTCCTAGAATAAACTTACAATTAGGTTGTTAATTTTCGAAAAGTTACCTAAAATAAGCTACTTATACTGTGACGTTTACCCAGAACATTCATTGTACAACCTACTGTGTATAGAACAACATAAACGTTTGTGTTGCTTTTTAACACAAAAATGTTTCTTTGTCAGACTTGAGCAACACTTTCAATCTAATCTTTCTCCTGTATATGTCTAGTATCCTACTGGCGCTTACCTGAGTCCATTCATTCACAAACTAGAAAATCAGGTGTTAAACAACTCAAATGACAAGTCCTGCTGGAGGTCAGCTACCGCCCGAACAGCTCAATACTAACGCCGATGACTACAACACTGTTTGACGTAATTTCAGAAGGGATATCAGGTCCCTTGGGGTCACAAATCTGCCTTGTTGATAATTGCCAACAACTATTCAAGCACGGCCTCCTCTCGATCACCTCCAGGAAATTACATTAATCGATTTTATATTTCTCCTTTGAGTTCCTAGTGGAACATGCGGATTCAGTAACACGTCACAATTTCACTCTCTCCTATCCAGTCTTTTCAAACTAACTCCAACACTACACACAAGCTTCCACTTCTCCCTCGCATCATCTCATCCATATCACCCTCATCTCGGAAGCCCAACTCGTCGGTTCCCCTTTGCATTCATTCCACTCAATGACCTGGCCTGAAGAGTCATGTCCACAAATGGTCTTCTCAGTGTATGCCGTGTGCCGTATGCCGTATGCTGCATACAATCCATCTCCACTTTCTTCCTCTACATATTACTTAGACGAGAGCTTCTTTGTTGGTTCATTCCCACAGTTCCTTGATGCTTATTCTTATTATTATGATCATCTGATCTCCATCTTCACTGTTGAGCGAGCGTTGAGGACAGTTGTTGATGAATGTGTGCACCTTGTTGAAAATGCTTTTCATAACAAGCCAAATCTCCCAACCATCACATAGACACACTGAATAACTTGACTGACATTAGTGTTGAGAATTTGGAAATTGTTCATGCTTTATGCTGAGAAAAGTAGATCTCCAGAGTGATTTCAGATTACTGCATGAAGGCCTGTCTTGCTGTCTCCTCGATCCTGACTACTTTCACATCCTCATCTGTGCCATCACCGCCACCTGTAGTTGGAACGATCAGTCCTGACTAGGTAGTTAGGTAGGTAGATGGGTAGGTGAAAGAGACTACTTCCTTTCGATTTCTCCCGTTCAGCGTGATTGGTGCTTTTTCTTGTTGTCCTTTTTGGTTAGGTATCTTCATCACCTCTGTCTTCTCCACGTTCACCTGGAGGAAGTCCTGTCTTCCTTCGCTACCTCACCTCACTTCACCTCCCCTTGCCTTACCTCCCTTCACCTCACCTCCCTCCGCATCTCCTGCCAAATGGCCATGGTTCGCCTGTTCATCTTCGAGATTCTGCAACAAGACATCAGACAATAATCAACATCGTTGGCGGTGGCGAAATCCAATTCTTCTTCTCGACTCTTTCCATCGGAACAGCTAGCCTTTGTCCATCTCCTCACAGCTCCTCACATTTGTCTGCTGCATCATACAGTCCAATCTAGTCCACTCCACTCCACTCATCCCCACTCCAGTCCAGTCCAGTCCAGTACAATCCCCTTCACCCCACTCCACTCCACTCCAGTCAAACACAATCAGCAAGATCATCGGTGAGGATAGTAGACGGCTGCCTACTCTGTCTCACTCCTGTCTCTTGTCCCCTGTCTCCTGTCCGTCTTCAATTCACAGACGACACTCACCTTCCATTGTCATTCACTCGGCATGTTGCATCCTCACATAGCATATCAGTGTTGTTGAATGATGTTGATAAGGGTTTGTGGCACTCAGACCGTGGTGTTGAAGCAGCTGCCTATCAAATTACTTCTCGGTCGACACTGTCGAAGGCCTTTACAAAGTCGATGAAATTCAGGTTGTGTTGTGTTTATTTGAGTCGAGTCGAGTCGAGTCGGGTTGAGTTGAGTTGAGTTGACTGGCATCCTATGCTCTGTTCCATGATGATGTGTGGTGTAGCGTAGTCTCGCAATTTGATCTACACATGATTTGTTCTTCATGAGGCCAGTCAGCCAGTCAGCCAGCAGCCAAACAGCCAAACAGCCAGCGTGTTTCGATCGTAATTTGAATGTAGAGCATCTTTGTGTCTCTCCATGATGATGTGACATAATATTTTGCTTGTCGTGGACATGGACAGGAGCCTGATTCTTCGTCAGTTCTTCTAATGATTTAGGTCACCCTTCTTTGGCTGTTTGACAAGGTAGACCTTCTCCTAATCAATGGACAGCCACCTTTCATTCCTTCCTTCCTCCCCTCCTTCCATCCATCCTTCCTTCCTTCTTTCCAAACCTTCCTGAATAGAAGTGGTGCGAGCATGTCCACTGCTGTTGTCTCTGCATCTGTTCTCAGTGGTTCTCGAGGAATTCCATCTGGTCGTGATGCTTTCCATGACCTCAGCAACCTTATGGCGTTCACGGCCTCACTTTTGTTATGTTGGAGTGCTTGTGTTCACTGATAGTTCATGTGGTTGAGCTGCTGGTGGTATTCATGCATGAGTTGTACGTGGTGTTGGTGTTGGCGGTGGTGGTGGTGGTGGTCGATTCAAAAGATTTTTGAAGTGTTCAGTCCATGCTTTCTTTTGTTTCTCCGCTTTGGTAACTTCACCTCCTTGACTATCGTTCATTGGTTTCATCTGTGCTTTGCTGATCTCTTTCGTAGGCGGTAAGTAACCCGGTTATTGGATATAATGCTGTCAGGTCATTGTCTTATTAATCAGTTCATCTCCTACTTCACCATCTTCCTCTCCCTCCTTTATCTGCTTCCATGTGCACGTCGAGATCCATTCCTTGTCTTCTCTCTTCTTCCTCCCTCCTAACACGATTACACAGGTTTCCTTCCACACAGCTTTCAAACAGTTCCAGTGTTCTTCCACACAGGTTTCCTCATGGATGTTGCTCAATGTCCCTCATTTTCTCCTGAGGACTGACTGACGTGTGGATGTCCTTTGCAGTATTGTCCTTCACTTCACTTTCTGTTCCGGGTGTTCAACTTCAAATGCTGTCTATCATCCCCTGCTTCTTTGAAGGTTTCCACCTTGATTTGGAAGATTCCTTGCACTAGAAAGTGGTCGGAACCTACATCTACTCCCCTTCGTGATCTAATCTTGTGTCCGGTAGGCAGAGTCTCCACTTTCTTCATATTGGCATCAAGTCGATCTGATTTTTAGTGTAGTGTGTCTGGTGTCTGGTGAAATCCATGTCGCTGCCTTGTCAATATCCTTGTGTTTGTACACACTGAATGACTCCAATCAACAAATCGTTGAGTGCGCAGAAATCTCCAACTAGTTCTCCCTTCTCATTCCTCATTTCACCGAGTACTTCTCGACCCATGATGAGTTCTCTTCGTGTGTTGTCTGCTCCCAGTTTATCATTCATATCGTCGCCGATTAGAATTTCGATGTCGGCAACTGGTGTGAGGTCTTGCCCTCTACTGATTGCAGTTATATGTGGAATTCCTCCTTCTTCTCTTCATCCCCATTATTTGTAGGTGCGAACAGTAGCATTGTATAATTGTGACTTTCCTTACTTTCAATTTGAATCTTGCATTCATGATCCTGATCTCACAGGAGGAGACTGGCTCCCACTGCATGACAGAGAGCCTTCGATGCTTATCGGCACATCATGATTGCCACTCCATAACTCAGTGTGCTGGTGATTGTCGTCTGAGTGACTATATCACAGTAGATTATTGACTCTCCAGTTGACAGTTTCCAGAGTTCACTTCCATTCCATCTGCAGATTTCCCGCAGATTCCTAGCCTTCCACGTCTCCGCTGTATCTTCTCATCTCATTGTCAATCTGGCAGCCTTGTCAGCCAGCTTCGAGTATTGTGTGTTCATTCAATATATTCATGTTTACTTTTGCTTTTATTGAGAGAAGAGAAGACACACTGGGCAACTGGCTTGCCGGAGGCTTTCACCAACTGACATCATTCCATCTCACCTATTCCAGTGAGTAATAAGTTTATTTTGCTTTTTATATTTGTTTGTGCTTTTAAGTTTGTTTGGTGATTGGATTGGTTTTGTGGGGTAGGGTTGCTAGCCGTATGCCCAACCTTTCCTGTTTATCTGGGCTTGGGACCCGGCTAGTAACCTGCGAACTAGTTAACGAGGCGAAGTTCCAGGAAATTAACATTCATAATAATCTCTTTTACTAATATTTCACTTAAGATTGTCACTAAAATCCGTTAAAACGGTGTTGACTCTATCACTGAATCAGTAGTAGAAGTAGAAAAAAATACTGGTGTAAAAATATATACTGTCAAAACCCATTTTATAAAGTCCCTTTACACGGAATTTATTGTTTGAAGATGTTTGTGAATATTGTTTACTTTAATGCTCTTAAAGTGTAATTAGACTAATGAAGCGTTTTTCTTGAAGCGATCCTTTTAGGTCTATATAAACTGATCAGAACTGTTTGTTTGCTTACCTATTTTCTGAGTTTCCCTTCGTTGTGGAAAGAAGTCTTTCATGTGTTTCAATTCAGAGCTGTACAGGGTCTTTCACTCAAACACTTAAGTATACCTACTGGTATTTTCTTGCCAGTATCAATGATTTTTCATCTTTTTCAGTTCAATAAGCATTGTTTTTTTACCCAACTAATCTCAATAAGCAAATATATACGAATATCTGAGGGCACTAGATTACAAACCCTCTGACTATACAACATTCTCATATCAGGATACAAGCAATTTGCAGTCATATCACTTAAATCATATCTGATATCATTGATCAAGGTGAGAAGTCTTAGAGCCTCTGTAACACTTACCTGATAATTATTGACCGCGAATTCACTACTTCAGGATGTTGAAGTTTAAAGATCAACATCAGCTGTGAAAACCTTACGTTTGTCATACTTGCGAACTACATATAAAAATTCGAGTGACCAATTATATTCAGGTGTATCACACACACACACACACACACACACACACAAATACTTCATCTTTTGCAATTGTCTTAGATTAGTACACAGTATTTTAACGCAGATACTTGTGCTGCATACTGAACCTCGAACTAATACAGGAACTGATCTTTAGTATTTGAAATGAATCATTCTGTTATTTGTTTTTGTTCTAGCTTAAGCGTGATTGGCTTCTTAAAATGCCACGTTTAATATATCAAATTGAGAGAAAGAAATGGAGTCATGTATTGAATACATGAGATTAAAGTTAAAAGGTAGAAGTACGGCACAGAAGTACTTCCACTTTTATTAAGAACTCAGGCATATGTTTTCAATAAAACATTGCCAACACCCACCGGTTTTCACTTACTGACATGAAACAACTTACGATTTCATTAGTTTGTCAAGCCCTTTAGCATTCATAAAGTTGATACAGTTTTAGGACTTATTGCTTTTTAATAGGAGTGTATTAAAATGCAAATGCACTAATTCTGTTGAAAAAATTACTGTGCAAATCAGTTACAGAAAAGAATAAATAATCCATTTGTGCAATATATACTTCCTTATAGTATTGACAGATATCAATAAATGATAATAACTTCACAATGTTTTTTGTTACGTGTTTTTAGGTTCCAATAGAGCTTGTAAATTCATGGTGTTAAAGATATATAAGGCTACCAGTGGTATTCAAAGTGTGCACTTTGTCTCATTTGAACTGAACAGAGTGATATACATCCATCCCAGTAAGCTAGGGTATTCCCAGTTAGATGCTGACCCAGTAACTTTGGCTAAAAAGCCTGAGCACTGTCCACTAGGCTATTGAGTTTCCACACCCACTCCTATGCGCCGTGTATAGTTTGACTTCAAGAAGTTTTATTTCTTATTGTTGATCAGTTTGGACTGAAATGACTGACCTCTGATGGCACATATGAGAGTGCTGTCCCTTGTTAAGATGAAAGTTCATACAACCGATGAGTCCCAAACAAAAAGAATCTTGGATTCTACCGCTAACCACTTCTATGCTTAATACCAAAACGAAATCATCTGCCAAATCGAGACAACCACACAGGAGTTCATCGGCCAACTGAGGTCAATCAATTCGGTCCAAACCACTCTACAAGCAAAAATTACAAGTTGCAGTATGCAAAATTATGAGTTACACCACCCATGATCAGTAAAAATGAGCTACAATTTCGATTAATAAAAGTTGAGAATGTTTCTGTTCAGAAATTTTTGATCAGTAGGCAATTATTAGTAATATCTGAAAGGACCGTAACCTATCATTTTCTGTGGAAAAATAATTTCATTGGCAACTATTTTAAGAGAAGTTATTTGATTCTTGCAACAGGTGCTGAAAAGTGGCTGAATAGCTCTCCCAACATGCTCATATTTTTCATATTTCATCAACCCTGTGCTAGTTAAGAGTGATCATTATCCATGAGCAGTGAATTACTCATAACCATATTACTGTATCTAAATGTTATTCATACCGCTTTCGTGAAATCTGGCATTACGTTTTTCCAAAGTATGAACTTAAATGTGATGTTCGAGAATACAACATAAAACAATATAAGATACGTAAATTCATAAGAAGAAAGTGTTTACCATGCTCTTCTACGTTAGTCAGAGAACATGATATAGGCAAGAAAAATGATAACTGAATAATATTGCTTGATTTAAATACCTTTACTTTTTTGTGCAAAACATCATTCCAACAAATATCAGAAAACCAGGGATGCTTCATTATTTCATGTATATCGTTCTGAAAAGAATGTTAGATAAAAGATAAAATTAATCCTTTAATAAGATGAATAACTTATTTTGATCATTCAACTACACTGGATATAATTAGAATCATTCATTGATCTGTTGCCTTTCAAAGTGATAATCTTAAAACATTTTAAATGATATTCTACAAGATGAGAAGTATGACTGTGTTAATCAGCTGCTGAATAAGTCAAATTTGATTAGGGATTTAACTTTCTTTGGGTTATTCCAAATTCAGCTTCGGTTAATTCTTTAATTTTGTAGCTTGAATGGTAGAATACGTTTGCGGTGATTCTTGCAGCACTATTCAGTTTCATGGATTGTGAAGATTTCTGAATTTCAAGTCGGTATTCATCACTCAGTGACTGACACTAGTTGGAGGACCATAGCAAACCTGGAGAGCATTGGACAGTATCTTCGTCCTAGTGTGCACATTCATGACCCTACCCGGAATTGATATCATGACCTTCAGATTCCGCGGTCACTAAGTTATCATTATCCCGCTTGGTCGAAATCTAGTCCTGAAGTAGGGAAATGTAAACCACTGGATTATCAGCCAGTGACTCAATGCAAACATGACAGCTGGGGAACCTGAAGGTTTCTTTGACCCCTGAAGAGGTGGTAAGTGCGTACTGCTGTGGAGTTCCATACTAGGATAAAGCAGCTGTCCACTGCTTTTAGGCTTTCAATGATTCTCCAACTTACTTCAGTTCGTGATAATACCCAGTTTTCGTACTACTAATATGAATTCAATCTTTAGATGAGATTCGTTTTAACTTGATCACTGATCATTGGGTAACTGCCATATTTTCTAACGAAGGTGCTTATTTAGTTGAGGTGTTTTTATTCCATATCTTAAAAAAGAGTTGATTGATTTCAGTCTGAAGTGATATGTTGATAAGAAACAATTCTAAGCTCGAGATGAAAAAACGTTGGCATAAGATAAAAAGCGGAGCTGTCTCCTTATACATGACAAATATTTTCAAATAAATGTTAACATGCCAATAACTCCTGTCTCATAAATGTCTTTTTTTCGATTTCAGCTTTCATCTATAGGCTAGTAAGATTGTATGAATCATTTGCATTCTTTTACGAAATTTTAGGTATCATGCTAAGTGAATTAGGAAGCTCAAGAGACAATAATAACTCGTGAAAGTTTTTAGTGTTGCCTACTTCCAGGGCAATCTTTCCATGATAATTATCAGTAAAACACTTAAAGAATTCCTGTTAACTTCTAATCAATATAGTGTGAACGTTTTTTTAACAGTTCTACATTCTCATTTTTTCATGGTGGATGATTAATAATCAGAAGTTGTTCAAAATCTTACTGACAAAAAAGATTAGTAGTATTTTATATGTAACATTAGGATCTAGATGAAGATTGGGCATAATGTTGTGTACTTGTGCTACTGCCATCTAACTGAAAATATATAACCTTGGCTTTCCAAGCATTTAGCCAGACATGAGATTTGTTGCTTCCCATCGGTCAAACAGTACAAATAATCCAGTCTTACAGGAGTTCAATCATGGTCTAAATAACTCAATAATAACATCACTGACTCCGACACTCGGTGACGTGGGTTCAAATCCCACAGAAACATAAGTTCCTAAAGGTTTGAGATACGCCTTCCTGACGAATGCCAACAAACACAAAACCTAGGTCAAACGATTCCTATCGATCGCTTTGAGCCAACTAACGTCTAATTAGACTGTCTAACAGATTCCATCTTGGAATCCTACGTTAATTTTGCTCAGCCCGGACCAAAAATTGAACACTTCACTAACTGAAGTTATATTTTGGCAAAAGTATGCTTAAGTTTGAACTTTGCTATCATGAAATGCAAAATAATAACCCTCCAAGTTTCTTTCCTTAAAGATTGTTAAACTCCCTTCAAATAAGCATATTGTACTGGTTGTTGTTCAAAATATTTTACTAAGTTCTTTTACATTTACGTTGATCGTTTTTCAGTAAAGCTTTGAAAGAAACTAAAAACAATAATAATAATAATATTAGTCACATAACACCAATATTCGACCACTCGAGTAAGCAAAATATTATGTCGCATCATCCTGTAAAGACTAAAAGATGCGCTGGATTCAAAATTACGACTGGAACAGGCTGGATTCAGGAAGTACAAATCGTGTGCGGATCAAATTGCAACGCTACTCTATGCATCATCATAGAACAGAGAATAGGATGCCAGTCAACCCTCTACCTCAACTTCATCGGCTTTGTAAAGGAATTCGACAGCGTCGACCGAGAAGTAATTTGACAAGCAGCTGCTTCAATACTACGGAGTGCCACTAGTCTTTATCAACCTCATTCAACATCAGCTATATGCTATGTGAGGATGCTATATCCCTAGTGAATGACAATAGAAAGCTGAGTGATACCTATGAAGTGAAGACAGGAGACAGTGAAGAGGAGTAAGATAAGTCTGCCTACTGTCACTTGTAATCTTCTTGATTGTAGTCGACTGGGCTGGATCATGCAGCAGACAACTGTGAGGAGCGAGAAAATGGGCACACGATGGGTGGACTGATGAAAAGACCCCAGAAGAAGATTTAGATTTCTCCGACGACGATGATGATGATGATTATTTGTGTCTAATGTCTTTTCGCACAAACTCAAAAGATCTACAGGCAAAAACTAACAAGTTGACACAAGAGGAGAGGCAACGAAGACGGAACTCCAAGTGAATGTAGAAAAGATTTCCAAACAACAACAGCATCAACAACCAGAGTAACCAATCACCATCAATGGGAGAAACCTAAAGGATGTAGACTCTCTCACCTATATAGGCAGGACAGCACCGATTCAACTACAGGTGGTACACGCACAAACGAAGATGTCAAACCACGATCGGAAACACATCAAGACAGGTCTTCCCTCATCAATCTGAAACCAGTGTGGAGATCTACTGCACTCAGCATAAAGCATGAACAACATCCAGATTTTCAACACCAATGTGAGTCAAGTCAGTCAGTTTTTCTATGTGATGGTTGAGAAACTCTGCGAGTCACGAAAAGCATTTACAACAAACTACAGACATTCATCAACAACTGACACCTACTCTCACTCCATACTCAAGATCACATCACATCAGATCAGATCAGATCAGATCAGATCAGATGGCGAGAATAATAAGAATAAGCAACAAGGAACTCTCGCATGACAACGAACCAACGAAGCAAGAACCCATCAACTAACAAATATGCAGAAGAGGAAGGTGGAGATGGATTGGATTGGATTGGACATACACTGAGAATTCCGATTGGGGTCATCACGTGGCAGGTCAGGTCAGGCCAGGTCAGGCTAGGCCAGGTCAGGTCAGGTGGTCGAATGGAATTCAATAGGGAGACCACGAGTTGAGCTTTTGAGTTGAGGGTGATATGGAGGAGGTTGTATGAGGAAGAAATGAGAGCTTATGTGTAGTGGTGGCATGAGGTTGAAAAGACTGCAGAGAAGATAGTGTGATGGAGGTGTGTTACTGAATCCCTATGTTCCACTAGGAACCCAAGGGAAAAATAATGATAATAAATAATGTTCGACTACTCAGTTGGTAAAAATATATGAAACTGAATGTTAGTTTGCACAAATAACTATTCAACTGCTCATTATAAAGTGTAATATAAGGGCAAGTTATTTTACACAAAATCTTTATAGTCAGTAAAATGCTATATTTCTTACTTTCGATCTGCCTAATCTTTCATTGAGATCGACACGTAGAAATCCCTTGACTAGGTCTCTGTTAATTGGTAAAAGTAATTACAAAGAAACAGAATTAGTAGTTGACTCTCTATATACATCATAGAAATTCAATCCATTTTCTTTTACACACATCATAAAGAAATTAATACATACATATTGATATACAGAGTTAGGTAAATATTTGTGATATACCTAATAATTTACACTCAGGCTTTGAAATTCAAATACCAGTGTATCACGAAACAAACAAATAAGATTAACCTCCTTTTATGAGTAATATTTTGAATGTATAGATTTGTTAAGCCATTTTCGTGTTAATGCACTCACTGTCTACTGATAAAAAGATAAAACTTAAAAATGGAGTTGTCTGATTTCAAAGATAATAATAATAATCATTTTATTCCTAACAATATGTATAATACAATATGGAATTCTCAGCATGTATTTTTTTTCAATAAATTCACTTCCAGAACAATATTCTCAAATAAAATGATTATCCCATCTGAATAATGTTAGTGGTAACAGTATTCAAAACAATAGTTTGAAACAACTATCTGGTTTTGAATGAATATCTGGTTCATAATAAAAAAAACAACAGAAACACGAACATAAGTCTTATGGTGATAAAACATTTAGCAAGTATAAAAAATGTGCAACTCAAGCTAAGTATCTGAGGGATAGAAATATGATATACTTTTATCCATTGAAAAGTCCACTTCCAAATAAAGTGACATTTTTTTTTTCAATTGCAACAATTTGAAAACAATTTAAAAATGTGCAAGAGTACATGATGGGTTAGGCTAAAAGTTATCCCCGGTTGTAATAGTGTTCTGTGTAAAAATACGTATTTATTGTGCTTTATAAGATTATATATTGAGTGGAAAACTGCAATCATAAATCCTTTCTGCTGTAGTTTGAAGGTCGAATTGACTTACTTTTATTTGCAAGCATCATCCTTCCTAAATAACCTCGCCTGGTTAACTAGTTTACTAGTTACTAGCCGGTCCTAAGCCCGGGTAAAGAGGGAAGGTTGGGCATAGGGCTAGCAACCCTACCCCGTAAAACAAATCTAACCGCTAAAGAAACTTCAAAGCACAAACAAAATATAAAAAATGAAAACAAACTTATTCCCCGCTGGAATCGGAGAGGCGAAATGACGCCAGTTGGTGAAAGCCTTCGGGAAGCCAATTGGCCGATGTGTCTTCTCTCGATGAAAGCGAAAGTAAACGTGGGGACATGGAATGTCCGCACGATGTTTGAACCCAGTAAGGCAGCCCAGATTGCAAAGGAGATGAGAAGGTATAACATCGAAGTGCTTGGGATTTGCGAAAGCAGATGGAATGGGAGTGGACTCTCCAAACTGTCAACTGGAGAATCAATAATCTACTCCGGTCACCCAGACGCCAACCACGAGCACACTGAGGGAGTGGCTATCATGATGTCCTCAAGAGCATCGAAGGCTCTCATGCAGTGGGAACCAATCTCCTCCAGGATCATGACAGCAAGATTCAACTCAAAAGGAAGAAAGGTCACAATCATACAATGTTATGCACCTACAAATAATGCAGAGCAAGAGAAAAAGGAGGATTTCTACAGACAACTTCAATCAACACTGGACAAGACGTCAGTTGGCGATATCAAAATTCTAATGGGCGACATGAATGCCAAACTGGGAGGGGACAACACGGGAAGAGAACTAACCATGGGTCGAGAGGCGCTAGGTGAAATGAATGAGAATGGAGAATTGTTTGCAGAATTCTGTGCATTCAACGATTTGGTGATTGGAGGCAGTGTGTTCAGGCACAAGGATATCCACAAAGCGACATGGATTTCACCAGATGGACACACTAAAAATCAAATCGACTTTATCTCAATCTCAAGAAAATGGAGACGCAGTCTACTTAACACAAGGTCAAGAAGAGGAGCAGATGTAGGTTCAGACCACTATCTAGTGCAAGGAACCTTCCAAATCAAGTTAAAAGCCTTCAAGGAAGCTGGTGATAGACCTCAATTCAAGTACAACACTCGGAAACTGAAGGATGAAACTACAAAGGAGATCTTCAAAGCAGCCATCAAGACAAAATGGGAGACGTCGAGGGACATCCCTGAAGAAACCTGTGTAGAAGAACACTGGAAGTCTTTGAAAGCTATGTGGAAAGAAACCTGCACAACAGTATTAGGAAGGAAGAAGAAAGAAGACAAGGAATGGATCTCGACGGATACCTGGAAGCTGATAGAGGAGAGGAGGATGGTGAAGCAGAAGATAAACCAGTGCAAGGATGCTCAACGACAAGAGGAACTGAGCACAATGTATAAAACACTGGACAAAGAAGTGAAGAAGAGTGCACGCAAAGACAAAAGACACTTCTACGACACACTGGCAAGTGAAGCAGAACAGGCTGCAGGTAAGAGAGACCTGACGACATTGTATCAAATAACCAGGTTGCTATCAGGGAAGAGACCAACACAGATGAAACCAATAAAAGATGAAGAAGGAAATTTAATTACAAAAGAAGAGAAACAGAGGAAACGATGGGCCGACCACTTCAAGAAGCTCTTGAATCGACCACCACCTGCACTTCGTCCAGAAATACCACCTGCAGCCGCTGAATTACAAGTGAACATAAATCCCCCAACGAAAATGGAAGTCCTGAACGCCATAAAGCTACTGAAATGCGGGAAAGCAGCAGGACCAGATGGAATACCGCCAGAAGCACTGAGAACAGATGCAGAGACAACAGCGGACATGCTCACACCACTATTGCAGAAGGTGTGGAAGGAAGAGAAGGTACCTGACGATTGGAAGAAGGGTTACCTTGTCAAACTGCCGAAGAAGGGAGACCTCAGTGCTTGCAAGAACTGGCGCGGAATCACTCTCCTGTCCACCCCAAGTAAAATATTAAGCCGCATCATCCTGGAGAGGCTTAAAGACGCACTGGATTCAAAACTGCGACCGGAACAGGCAGGCTTCAGGAAGTACAAATCATGTGCTGACCAAATTGCAACGCTTCGTATCATCATAGAACAGAGCGTAGAATGGCAATCAGCTCTATACCTCAACTTCATCGACTTTGAGAAGGCCTTTGACAGCGTCGACCGAGAAGTAATTTGGAAACTGCTTCAATACTACGGAGTACCGCAAACCTTTATCCGCCTCATTCAACAACTATATGAAGATGCCACATGCCAAGTAATCCACAATGGGAAGCTCAGTGATGCCTTTGAAGTGAAGACAGGAGTGAAACAAGGTTGCCTACTATCCCCCATGATATTCCTATTGTGGTGGACTGGATCATGCAGCAAACAGTAGGCAGCGAGAAGAGGGGGATACACTGGACGACGGAAAAGAACCTAGAAGACTTGGATTTCGCCGATGACTTATGCCTAATGTCACATAAACTTGAAGATCTGCAGGCAAAAACTAACAAGTTGACAGAAGAGGCAGCTAAGACGGGACTTCAGGTGAATATAGAGAAGACAGAAGTGATGAAGATACCGCACCACCACCATCAACAACAACAACAAACTCCAATCACCGTCAACGGGAGAAACTTGAAGGAAGTAACCTCCTTCACTTATCTAGGAAGCACTGTTTCAACTACAGGCGGGACGGACGAGGACGTCAAAGTCAGAATCGGAAAAGCAAGACAGGCGTTCATTAGCCTGAAACCAGTGTGGAGATCTTCTGCACTCAGCATGCGGAACAAGATACGGATTTTCAACACCAACGTCAAGTCAGTGCTCTTGTATGGCTCAGAGACTTGGCGCGTCACGAAAGGCATTTCCAATAAACTACAGACATTCATCAACAACTGCTTACGCTCGCTGCTGAAGATCAGATGGCCAGAAAAAATAAGCAACAAGGAACTCTGGGAACGAACCAACCAAGAACCTATCACGCAACAAATATGCAGGAAGAAGTGGAGATGGATTGGGCATGCACTGAGAAGGCCGACTGAGGACATCACGCGTCAGGCCCTCGAGTGGAATCCCCATGGGAAGCGACGAGTTGGACGTCCGAGGGTGACATGGAGGAGGTCATGCGAGGAGGAAATGAGAGCTTCTGGGCTGTCGTGGAACCAGGTTCAAAAGATCTCAGAGAACAGAGGTCACTGGAGGCGTGCTACTGAAGCCCTATGTTCCACTAGGAACCCAAGGGACTAATAATAATAATAATAATATAAATCCTTCCTAAATAAATACATTTACATTTCTACTAGGAGGTGGATGGGCAACCAATAATTTGCACATGAATAAATGGTATGAAACATGATTCAGTGACAGAGAGAATTTAGAAACTTTACAATTAGGTAAAATATACATATAGCACACGTAAACTAAGTAAATTTGAGTACAGAACGCAATATCCTATAATAAGCACGATAACCGGGGATAACTTTTAGCCTCACCCATATATCTACCAGACATATTTAAATGATTAAATCAAGTTGAAAGGAAAGAATTTGATGAAGAATATTTGGTGGAATATTTTGGTAGCCCAAGGTTCAAATAGACTACCATTAGCGTTCATGAAGCTTGGTCAAGTCAATTTACGATTGTACAAGAAGCAATTAACTTGAATGAAGTTATGATATTGTAACTAACGATGTGATTTGATTTATCAATTAGCAGCATTCATGTTACTGAAATACCAGACCATTTAATTTGCTTTCACAACTAATAATCTTTAGTTAGAGAGCAGAGATAATTTCTTGTTAATCAATCACTGAGGAAACTTACCTCTAGGTGGTCATAATTGTTGCAAACAAATTTCAAGTAGTTCTCGGATGTCACGGAATGGAAACAGAATACGGTTATAAGGTTGAATATCGCAATTCGCTACTGAAGATTCAAAATTACAAACTTTATGTGACTTTTTCAACTTTACTAGCCGAGTAGTATAATCAAGAAAATATTTATCTCTCACAAATTTGAGATACTAGTCAAGTACTTAAGGAAAATAGATTTGAAAGAAGGTTAATACTATTTTGTAACAATTTTCCTGGGTAAGTAAGTACCCCAATAATAATGAAACCCACAGTTCAACAATATACTCGACTTACTTGGCATTTTCATCTTCAATTTCATCGGGAAATTCATAGTTACCAGTTATTATTTTCTGATATATATGCAGCCGGTTATCGTTTTCATCATAAAACGGTGGACGTCTATGGTTGATAATCATGATAATCCATGCCAAAATATAAATTAAGATAGATAATAAAACATCAAGGAGAAATAGAATGATAAAGTCAAGGATTGTGTTTACTTGAAAATAATCTTTGGTTGAATTAATTATTCTTGAGTTATTCAAATCATTTAGAGTCTCAGCTATAGACTTTCAAAGCTCATTCTGCCTATGGAAAAGATATTCGATTCTATTATACCCAACAACTCATTCAAATCTGTTGGTCTTCATGTTTACTTTAAGAGGTTTACTAAGTGATCGGAATATACTGCTAAAATATGAGAATTGTTCAACTGAATGTTTTAACTTGGAAAAAAGTTACAAAGAAACCCACTGAAGCAATTTCATACAACATGAAACAGAAACAGAGAAAGTAGAATAGCACAGCGTGTTTGTCAAACAGAATACTTTCACTGATGATTTTCTGAATAACAATGATGATTAGAGAAAAGGTTTTTGACTGGAACAAGTAGATTTTCGCTTTGAAACTCTAATCACCATCAATTCTAGTCTGTGAAAGAAAGTATTTTTATAAGTGATCAAAGTTGAGCATTTAAAAAATGATAAATTCAGCAGTCAATAATAAATGGATATTTGCACAAACTCATTAGTAAATCTTTTTCTAGCATATACCCATGAGTATGAATTAAAACAAGATCAACAGATTACTGATAATTAATGCCCTGACATTACCTGAATGTTAATTATGATGATTTGGTTGGTTTTGGCTAGCAGGAGAATCCAAAATGCGCATTTCTTCTTTTTTGGGACTCACCAGCTGCATGCACCTGCTCCATAGTGAGTAATGTTGTTCCCACTGAGACTGGAACCTCTAACTATCGCTTTAAACGCCAAGGCGTTATCCACTAGAGGTCGAACAACTCGGCCCAACAAACAATGGAGAATAACAAGTATAAATAAATAGCAATAACTACTACCCGTTGTATAAGAAGTGGCTATCTTTCCTCCATGGCATAGTGGATAACCCTTTGGTGTTTGAAGCGAGGGGTACGAGGTTCGGGTCTTAGTGAGAACAACATCACTCACTGGAGAGTAGGTACACGCAGCTGACAAGTCCCAAATAGGACGAAACGCTCGTCCTGGATTCTTCTGCTAGCCACAACCAACTAAAATGTATCCTACAAGACCCACCTTGGTTTAAAAACAGTTGAAAGTGAATTCCATATATATATATATATATATATATATATATATATATATATATCCCATCCTTGAAAGCTTTATTATATGGGCTCATTTAAACAACCCACTGAATTATTCGTTTATTTATACATTTCTAAATCAAAACGGTCGGAACCTAAGTTAATAATAAATAAAGGCTTCATACCGGTATACTATAGAAACAAACTAATTTCTTTGTTTCACTTCTATCAAAAAAGTACCTCCCATTCATAGGTATCCTATGCATTGCTTATAAGATTTTATTTCAGCTACTGATGTTTTCATCCTCAGTTTAGACAATCATACTCATAGTATGAAATGAATTCACCTATAAGATATGAGAAAGAATGTCTTACTGGTTTGTAAAGCCCTGTTTAAATCCGTCAGAACTCAAATCTTCTAATAACCACTACCTATATTACCCTGCTTGCATTGATTAACCATTACCACCAATGTGACTAATATTGTTAATACTAGGCGATCTGGATTGAGATAGGATTCTTAACAGTGGCCTTTGGGTTACTGATCCGGTGCTGAACAAACTGAGATGCATTTTTAAGTTTAAAAAAAAGATTGATAAAATCTATCAGAATACTCGAGCAGTAATTGTGAGAACGCTAAATATGCTAGTCGGTGAAAAAAGCTATCAGGGTAAACAACTAGGTAATCGAACCTGGTTCTACTATTTCGTTTTGTGTTTAATAATTTTTTGACTATAAATAGAAAAATATCGAACATAAAATGATCTGATTAAAGACAGTGAAATAAAATCGCCTGTCATTTTACTATAGTTATTAATGCAACAAAATAGAATGAGAAGTTTAAATGAACTTCCTAACTGCCGTCACAAAATCATAAAGGTTGATAAATAAACATAGCGATTGTAAGTTTATGGATTATCTTCATATGTAACGCTACATTTAAGCTTTTAGTATATCAGTGAAATAAATGACTACAATAAAGTGAAATAAAACTGAGAGTAATTACGGGTAACTGAGACCTTGATTTTATTACACCTGAAAGCTCATTCTGTAGATCTCTACTTCAATGGCTCTTAAATTTCACTTATAGTTCAAGATATGTGTTGACCAGATTTCTAATGACTTTAGTCAGTCATCACCGAAGGAACTTTACGGTCAGGCAATGAATGAATAAAAAGCAGACTTAAAAGCAACAATATTTACGTGGCATAAATGTTTTGTTTGCTAACATCCTTTGATGTAGACAGTATTCTACAGTCTATTTGTTTCTTATCTTAAAAAGATTCTTCTCGTATATACCAGTAATGTTAATTTTACATTTCCGCCAGGTCGATGGTGTAGTAAAGGGTAGTCCTTAGGTCTCCCATACCGGCAGTCACCTATATATCACATATTGATAGTTAGGTTGAAAAATCAATTGTAATAGTCCCTTTCTACAAAAAAGATAAGTAGATGACATCATGATTACATTTGATAAACTGAAAGATGTTACTTCGAACTTAAGTCAGATGAATAAAGCGTTGAGTAATATATCGTTAACGGGAGAAATAAACTTAACTGTCCACCATTCTTAAAACTTCTCATAACTAGATGGCAAGATCGGTCGATAAAACATTACATCTGTGAGAAATACTTATGGATAAAAAGTATCTAAATCATCACAGTTTTCGTCCACTTCTGTATAGACGGGAATTAATCAGGTTTCTGTCCAACCGAATTTAATGGATACGCAAAAAATTATTCTTCAAAAAAGAAAACACAAATGCTCATCAAAGTGTTACTACGCAACAATTATCCCCTGAAATTTACTAATCGTGATAGAAATACCAAGTAAGGAAGACACACCAGTCAGTCAGTTCCATAGAAAGATGTCTATATCACGCTACTGAACTTTGTTGACTCACAGACTCTAATCACGAAACAAAGACTTGAAGCAGCCATTCAACGAGCATAATAGTCACCAGAGGAAGCTAAAATTGCGTGTTCCTCTCACAGCGTTTGAACGATAGCGTCACATTGAGTCATATTTATCAGACTACATATACATGTAATCACACTTACATAAGGAGAACCCGTCGATCTATGTAACTTTAAAGCAGTAGGTCATATTACAAATCGACTGCAACAAAAATGGAATCAAATGATCATGCGGACTAGGACAATAGATGTTCGACGTCATCTATAACTGAACACACTGCTGAAACAAGCCATAAGGCTGATATGCATTGATCTTTAAAATCCATTGACGGAGCCTGTTGGCGATACATGCTTCGGTTTTATGAAGCTCAAACTATAAAAAAGTTAGGATTCCTTTCATGTTTCCAAAAACAATTTATCGTTACATTAAATCTTCATTGGCAACTCATATTTATTTCAAAGGTAGTTAACGCACTATCTTTCCCCTTATACCTATCATTTAACCTTCAAACTAACAAACTGAGTATTTTTAGACATTGTTCCTTTGCTATGTTTCATATAAACTGGCATAACAAGTGTATAAGCAGATTGTTGGAAATTTATTTTATTAATATATAACATTTTTAAAACTATGACTCCTAATTGTTTGGTTAAAATTTATGAAGCTTCTTTCATCGATTTTCTTACCTCACTCTCATTGCAAACGTTGCTTTCGCTTCACATTTCTAACACAACAAAAGTCTTTTCATATCGAATGAAAATTCCACTCATTTGAGAATTATGTGTCCGTATGTGTAGTGAGACAGAGTAGAGGTTCAGTGATTATCAACAGTAAGTTATCGGTCAGAAATACCAATACTATTTCTCTTGATTGTGAAGCAAAAATTTTATTGTCCCACCGAATGACTCAGTTTTACACCACAGAAGTAACATATATTTATTCAGACTTTCAGCTGCACTTTGTTGATGAGGACTAGCAAGCATGGTAGGTCTAACACATGCTTGTTCATAACACTCATGAAAAACCAATATGCTCTACTATCCTGTAAGTCAGCGTTGGTAGTGAAAATATTATTGATAAACTTAACCCAGTACCCATAGAATTCTGGGAACAAACCAACCAAGAACCCATCAACAGACAAATATCCAGAAGAAAGTGGAGATGAATTGGGCATATACTGAGAAGGCCGAATGGGGACATCATGTGCCACGCCAGCCCACGTCTTCGAATGGAATCCAAAAAGGAAACGATGAGTTGTGGGTCCCAGCTGAGAATGACATTTAGGAGATCATGTGAAGAAGAAATGAAAGCTTATGGGCAGTCGTAGAGCGAGTTTCAAAAGACTGCACAGAAGAGAGTACAGTGGAGGCGTGCTACTGAAGCCTTATGTTCTACCAGGAACCCGAGGGAAAAATAATAAATAATAATAATAACAACCCAGTATCAAGATTAAGAAAGTCATAGATGACTTTGAAGGCTACCCTAGTACCGCAGGTGATAAGCAATCACTTTATTTTATGAAAAACCACCTTTCTAGCCGGACTGCTGAAACCTGATTGGTTATCTCAACAATTGCTAAAAATGGCCTTTAAAGTCATTCGAAAGCCATATTAGTAGTTACCGATGATTACAAATACTTACAAAAACCTGTTTCATTATAAGTAAACATTTTAATCATTATCAATGAGCGTTTCAGTCACTGCTAAAAATTTCTATGATAAAATAAAACAATTCATAATACACCAATAAATAATACTACTTTATTTCTGCTTTCCTGTAACAAGGTGATTAGAAGAAATACTGGATCATATGTAAGTTTAAAGCAGTAGGTCATATTACAAATTGACTGCAACAAAAAATGGAGTCAAATGATCATGCGGACTAGAACAATAGATGTTCGACATAGATAGATGTTCCGACATGTCAAGACAATCGTGTACATACAGTGAAATTAATTTAAATATCTTAAACTGTAACCTATCGTGTATTGTGGATATTTTAAAAAAAAACTTTACTAAATTAATTTGACGTACCCAACAAGCATTTCATAAATAATAATTCCTGTAGCCCACCAGTCAGCTGAATGATTATGACCTTTACCTTGAAGAATTTCTGGTGCCAAATATTCAGGTGTACCACAAAGAGAATATGTACTGAAATTAAAAGAAATGCATGAATTTTTATGAAATATTTTGTTTATTTATAACCAGCTACTTTTATAAATGATTTTTTTTAGTGAGAGGAGTAGTTACTTTTTTTTTAATGTCCTAGCCCTTAGTTCTTATAAGATTTTGGCCTTTCTCGACCTTTCTTCAACATTGACAAAATGAACATCAAGTGAACTACCCGACTGAATTTGTTCTCCTACTACTTCTTCTGCTACATACTTCCGTAAAAATGTGATAACAAGTAATAGTTTTGTATACAACTGTAAACATCAGTCATCAATGTTTAATATTATACTGTATGAAATAAAGGTATATTGGATTTGACACTTACGTTTCAACCAGTAGAGTGTAGTTACAAATTCTATGCTACTCACCGAACGTAGGCTGATAAGATTTTACATCAGAGGCCTCTCACTATATATGTGGCACACCACCTATTATACAAATCTATACGTCACTGCTAAGGTACATTTTTAAGTCAAAACACTATAATAACAAAGTAATTTTCCACTTGTTAAACTGCTGCTTGATAATTATTAACTTTACGATAATGAACATTTATGGTCCAATAAAAATGTATCTGCTGTTAAAAGTAATATGCTTGTGCGTATATTGTTATTTTCATTTTATTATTTGAAGTTAAAAAAATAAACAACTCACCGATCTTTAACAAGTTTTGCAAATCCAAAGTCAGTCATTTTTAAGTGACCCTTTGAATCCAAAAGTAGATTTTCTGGTTTTAGATCTCGATAAACAATTTGCAAACTAATTGATCGAAAATTTAAGAAGTGAAACAGTATTAAGCAAAGTAATTACCGAATTATTTAAGTAAATGTTTCAAAATGAATAACAACAATCTTAAACTGCTACTGAAGTGTAATTTTGACTACAGTTTGAAATGATGCAGATTATTTCAAATGTGCTTAGTTCGACCTTCTAAAATGATAAAATCACTGGTGTAATAAGTTCAGGATAATTTTGTAACTGTAGCTTAATTCTTGCATATGTATTAGTTTGACTGATTCCATTAAGTGTGTTACAAAAACTGTTCAAGACAAAAAAACTACTGATAGATGCCAGTAAACACACACTCGAATAGTAAGGAGGAGTGACTATGTAACATCAAACAGACAGGTTGCATGGATTTCGTGTAAAATAAAAACAAAATTCTAAACTATATAGTAAATAGTAAACAGCTATGTATCCTGTGGATAGTAAATACACTTCAACAAAAGCCAAGCCTTTGTACTCAAGAAGCTTGTGTATAGCTGCTTGTTAGAACTGATCACTCCTGAAGAGTTTTACAAAATGCATTGGACTCCATCAAAGTTTCTTTACTTCAGATTTTCGCGTGGCTTTATATTACTTCCGAGAAAGAAATGTTTACAGTACAACTACTCTACTTATTCTAACTAACATTAGGGATCGACGAATCCAAGTTCATACCGATACCATGGTTTTGCATCTTGATCCTCTACCCTCTGCTTCAATCCCTCCTTTCCTTTATGAAGCAACTATGCTACATAGAATAAACTGATTCCAAGTGTTGAGTCTGAAAATTTGACGTGTTGACTGTAGTAACCTTTGCTTTATTCATTACTCCTATTGTTTTTGAAGCTAAGCGCTTCATGTAAGCAAATCCTTTTTCCTATAGAATTAACAAGTTACTTACTCTCATATACCAAGCGTCTATCATAATGTTGTTTTCGAAATGCACCAATGCTGAACTGATTAGTGTTGCATTATTTTGCCATTCTAGATATTCTTACATCTTTTATTCATTACAAGAACTCGCTTGAAAGCATAAGAGTTTTTTCTCAGCTATGCACATTGTGCCTCAATTTTTGGCATACATCCAACATCCTTTTTATTAAACTAATGTAGTCTATGATGATGTTCTGCTCACCCTTCAATACTAGTAAATATTTTCACATTAGTCATTATTCAGACAGTTTTATTGCAAGACTCTTCATATATTACATAATTCAATGTAAAAAACTCCTGAATAATTAATGATAGATTTTCGAAGAGGAATTATACAGAAGGAGTTTCTTTCTTAAACGTTTTGCACTTAACACATTTCTTCTAGTGCAAAAGTCTAGAGTGAAGCTAGAAGAATAGTGTCAGCTCTGGGTTTTCAACCAGAAATCTCCATGTCACTCATCCATTGTTCTAGCAAGTTAACTACAAGATAATTTCTAGCGAGATCTCATATCTGATGGTAAATACCCGTCTGGCCATCGTCACACAAGCCACAAAACCAGCTCTTTCAGCTTCCTTTGGGAGCAGTAAGCTAGCAGCTACGAAAAAGGAAGTGAGTAACAAAAAATTACCAGGCTCTTTTGTGTGGCACGCACATTAAAGTTACTGTATCCGAATTCACTCTCACTGATTACTGGAAAATACTTATAAAGCGAGCGTCAAATAAATTATAACGTGGAAAATGCATGACATGTGGATGAAGAAGTCTCTGAATGAATCAATCTTATCTTCTTCACCATAATACTTCTCCTGTTTAACAGTGGCTAACTCCTGGCACATTTCAAGATATCAGAACTAGACAAGAATGAAAAACATATCTATATGGATCAATGTATCCCTTCTAGCCTAATTTAGTCTGCTAAATTACAAACATATTCTTCGTACCTAGACACAAGTCATTATTGTTAATTCCAGTGGTCTTATGCGTATGTTACATTACTTCCAGATGAGTGAAACGTGTGAATTACAATTTCGCTGTGATAAAACTTACCAGCCTAAACAAATGGAGAAAATTATGTTACTATGAGTTTCTTGACGCTGTTAAATTCCAATAACAACTCAGAATGCAGAAATAACGGTCGTAAATAAACAAAATTCAAACTGAATAGGATAACTAAGGGTATAAAATGATGATCTCACTCTGGATAACAAAACGTTTAGCCTATGAAGTGAGAACAGCTTCACATGTGGAATCTGCCCTAACATGCGTGCATTCTATCCTATCCAAATGCAAACAGGGAAACTGGACAGCATATAACATTATTTCACCACTGATGAATTATATAAAACTGAGAAAACAATTTAACAAAATAAAAAACAATTAGACTTTGCAACTTTGCTTCAGTTTTATTTCATTGACCTTAATCACCGAAACATCATCTTTTCAATCCCTGACAATATTACATGGTTCCGAGCATTCTTCGACAAACATGATATTAAGGACACGTTCATAAATATCTATTTCCTCTCTTAACAAATATGAACGATAATGTTTGTTTACTTCACTTTGTCGTTTAAATTATTAGTTAGCAATTCGTGGTCCTCTTAAACGGAGTTAATGCTGGGTTTACTGCAGTTTCTCCCAACTAATCTATCGTTGTCATGTTTATTCCTATTTATTTATATATCATTTGGGTGGATATTTTATATTTTATCGAAGCTGTTTCGGTAAGATGTATTCGAAAGAAGCCTTGTCAGCTTTCAGTTAATCTCTGCTTGACTACACATGTAAGTTCCTGAAATTGTATCAGAACACTCACCTTTTCATGCCTAACAAAGGTATATGGTTCTAGATAGATGGAATAAATGAATTCTCATCAATAAAATCAGCTCTCAACTTCTGTGACAAGTACTAACTCAAATCGCTCACACCTGAGGACTTGTTGAAAAAACATGAAATCGAAATAACATGCCAAACAACTTCTTATAGTTTAAAAGAATAACATAAATATAAATCTTGACTCCAAACGTTACAACGGCAGTAAAATTGTAAAGAACTCATAAAAATCCTTTTTCTGTTGAACGTTTTAGTGTTTGCTTGAAACACAGGTTAGAGATAAGCTGTTTCATCCAGCTTTCTTATGTCTACTTTCTCCCAATAGTTACTTATAAAAACCGTACAAAGTATTCTTCAAGCTCACTTAAAAGCACTGTTCTGTTCCTCAAGTGAAAGGTGAACGAAAGTCAGTTTATAGCTCAGCGCTTGAATATGAAGTCACTTTCCATATCTTTGAAAATTCTCTTGAAAGTCAAACTAGGTGATTTAAAATACGTCAGATTTTACAACTGTTATACAATCAAGGTTTTTATGCATAGCGGAAACACGCACGATCTCAGATTCAAGGTCTACCAACAGCCCTTTCTCCATCTTTTAATTTCAGTGCTCTTTTTTATTCCAACACTATTAATACTCCATTTTCAGCCTTTGATTTCATCTTCAACTCATCCTCACCTGTTGTGTACCTACTTCACACACGTAACATGTGACTGTTAGTCTTAACCTGTTATTCAATTAAAGACTTATTTGTTGATCACGTTATCTCAGATAGCGTAGTCTAGCACATTTATCTTTATATGATGGGACGGTAACCGATGTGAAGACAAAAACTTGGAACATAGCCGGCAATTAGTGTAGGCCTCACCTCATTCTTGGTTTTCATTTTAACTTCAGTCATTACTCTCATCATATCAAGATTTGGACTTGTTTCTGATTGTTGTAGATATGATATTATAGCTTTACTTACTAATTTCAAAAGACAAGATAACATATCCTCGATGAACTGCAGAACTGTTGAGCTGTACCATCAGTGGTTTAATTATGACGTCAGAAAATGCAACGTTTATAAATAAGGCTCATAGCAACTCCTTAATATAAATCACTCCGTGCCTAAACTCACTGGCCGTTTACTGACTTCCTTGTAGTCAGTCCTAGTTTGCTTCCACTAATGTGCATATTTTGCGCATGTCACCTCTATATTCAAGTGGGGCTTATGTGTTCTAATACAAATTAATTTTGCATTTGGAACTTTTCAGGAATTTATTGATTTCACAGTAGTACCCATCACGAACTGACATTAGTTAGAAAACCCCTGTAAACCTAGGAGCAGTTTACACTGTTTCATCCTGGTATAATACTCTTCAGTAGTGCTCACTGATAACACCAACAGGGATCGAACCCAGGGCCTTCAGGTTTTGTGGTCAACATGTTACCCACTGAGCCAATGGCCTACATTAACATGTGGTGGTGAGCTGTTTCATCATCTGATATTAGTTCAGCATTGCGTTAACAAATCGGTTTTTGCTAGTAATTATTACTCGCTGACGTCATAATTCATATGACAAAACAAAACAGTCATTTTTTGCAGCCATCATTATACACAAAGATCGAATGATAAAGTGAGACCTTTCTGCACAAAAATAAAAGAAACAAAGGCGTAATAAAGAGAATGAATACAGTAGACAGACTAATTCAGCTTGTAAAGCTAATAAAGCCCCCTAGGAAATAGACATACAGCTTTAAAACTTTACTCATCTCTTACAAAACACCTTACCCAGTAATACTGAAACAATAGCAACAATAGAATTCAGGTCCCTACTTTGATGACAATAAAATTGAATGTAGGTGAATTAAATATTTACTCAAACAGTAGAAAAGAACAACAAGTATACATCATATTTCAAAAATTTAGCAGGAGATTTAACTGGAGACTTGTATCATTCCACGTATTTATATCGGAACAGTGATGTAAAGAGAACAAAAGGGGGGTTTACATTGCATATTTCAAAAACATTCCGAAGGGTATGTGATTGAGAACAGTAAGTATCCTCAACAGTGCAACTACTAAGCTCTTGTTGTGTACGAGTCACCATAATTGATCCCTTGAAATTGTTCTAAATAGCCAACAAACAGAATAACTCAAATGTTCTTCACTTTGCTGAAGCCACTCCAATTAAATGCTTGAAATTAAATTTCTGTGTTAGAAAGAAATCTATTGTCAATCTTC